ATCAAAAGTTTTCATAACTTGGGATTGCAATTAATCATGATTAATTGTGACTATTCTAAAGCTACTCTGATTAATCAAATAAAATGAGTTAATCATTTGACAGTCCTAATGTGAACCGACACAGTCTCCAGTGTTTGTCTCTCTCCCTGTGCTTAGACCTGGAAGAAGAGAAAGAGTTTAGGGCACATCCAAAAATACTAGGGACTAGAAAACTGCTCTGAAAGAACACCATCCTTACGAGGAGTATTTAACATTGGCCTCATGAGACAATTCATCTCTACAAACTGTATGAAAAATGCAGGGTGAAGTTGTTGCTGTTATCTCTCACTAACAAGCATTAGCCGTTAGCTAACTGCCTTCTGGGCTTTTTACTAGGAAGTAGCACGAGCTGTGTAAACCCTCTTCCAGGAGAAGGATCCTCTTGGAATTGTACATTTCCCTTAAGAATACATGGAGGAGATAAATGAACAGAATTGTGCAAAGTACCAGGAGTTAACAGATAACTATGGGGGGAAAAAAGGCATCTGAGCCATTAAGTCCACAAAGGAAGCTCCAGATGGCTTTAGATACGGAGGAGTGGCCCGTAGGTCAGTGGTGATGGGATAGAAGCCAAGGCTGGATCAACCTTGGTTAGGTCTGTAAGACTCAAAGAACCCAAAACCCTGAAGGATCTCGTGAACATCAGCATGACGCATCTGAAGAGGCGTTGTTTTTGATCTTTGCTGCACTATTTCAACTTTTCCTTCCAATTCCAATTTCCTTCTGCTCTCTCTGTTCCACCGGCTGCTGTGTGACCTACTAGTGGTCATTATCAGAACAGCTCACCATTAAAGTAAAAGCAGATTTGTATGTACAGCAGCAACAAAGTGGAGTTTCAAGGACAACATCAGAAGACGGCGTCACCACCTTGAGATGCCGCTTCGGTATAAACAACCAAAACAACTGTAATGACAATATTTTGTGCTCTCGGAAACACAAATGATAAACGCGTTTGGAGGAAATAACAATGTCGCTCGGCTCCTGTTGTTGGCATCCTTCCGTCAAACTTTATTCTAATCTGTTTTTGTCATCTTATTGCCTTTCTATGCAGAATTGTACGAGCGAGATCAAAGTTAATCAAAGGTGTCGTTTCACGCCTCCTCGTTTCGTCTCCACATTTACTCCACAGTGCCAAAAAAAATCTGCAGAAAATGTTTAATTTTAAAGAATTATTCCTTCATGTGCAGTTTTAGGTCCGCTCTCCAAGGGCGTATTGATTGAGCTCCATGGTAACACGTGTTCAGCATATCCCACCAAACAAATAAAGACGAATGTGGAGAGCAAACAACTTAACCTTCCATCCTTCCTTACCTCCATCCTTCAGCCATCCATCCTTGCTTGTACATTAACCTTCTTTGCTGAAAAGTCTCATCCAAGCACTTAACCTCTGATTTGCATAAGTCATTATGGTTGTCAGGAGTGAGCAGGCAATAAATTGTACTAAGTATTCATCTATTCTTGTAAAGTTTAAAAATGCCCAAATGAACATTTTTTTAACTTTTTTTTTTTTTTGACTAATGAGGACAGAAACAGCATCAATCGTGGAAAAACATCATTAATATGTGTGCTGAAACAAGTAGTTTAAGATCAGTGTATTTCTCTCTGCCCCAGATCTGCAAAGGGAATGTTTAATAAACTGGTCACATTTAATGTGGCGCATTTAAACTTTTAAAGTTATTCAGAATTTGTACCACTCTTTTGGTCTGCTGGATCTAAGGGAGAACAATACGGTCCTATTGAATGCTCTCTTCTCCTGCCAGCATCAATTACAGCAAATGTTTGTTCAGAGAATCAGAGGCAGGGGAACGTCTACTGCTCCGTCAATAAACAAAGACCAGAACAACACAACCTTACAGTGAAAACAGGAAATTCAATAGAGGCACTGCAGCCTTTTTAGAAAAACATGGATTTTCTCCCGTCCAACACTCGACAGATGCTGGAGTTAAAGTGTTCCCACACAGCTGGGACTGTAGCGAACAAGCAAACCATGGCTCTGTTTGTGCGTGTGTGCGCGTGAGTGTACAGCAGACCTGTCACCAACACTACATCAACAGCTGAGCTGACATTCCTGGGTCATTGACTGTAGCAGAGACAGAGTGGAAATGTCCTCTTAACTGATAAAACAACAGACAGGGCCGAGCTGGAACAATCTGGAGGAGACGTCAGTTTGTGCTGACTGTTCTGACACAGGCAGACTCCTACACAGTCACACAGGCTTTGAAATCAATGAGATCCTCAGCCACAGTGATAGACGTGCGGCTCAGAGGCGGTGCAACACAAGTTCATTTTATATCGTGAACTTTTCTAGAAACTCACAATTATTAAAATAAAATCTTTAGCTGCTTTTTTTTTAATCCTGGAGTCCAGTATTTTCAGGAAGAAAGATCTAATTATTTTCCTCCTGGTGGTGCTGTACTTTGGTACGATATTCATTATAACATACACATTAAAAGTAGCAGTCACTCAGCATACAATTAGCAACTGCATAGATATACAATATACCACCTTTTTCTTCTTAAAGTATTTTATCCAAATGCAGAAAATCAGGAGTTCATTTAGAACAACTTTAAACTGCCGAAGGCAGGCTGGGGTTCTTTGGGGACAGGGAGGTTTAAAGAAAAAAAATCTGGGCCGTGGACCACTGGGAGGACAAAGGTTTCTAGACTTTTTTTAGGAGCTTGATAAAGAGCTGGATAAAGAGCTAAAAACTACTTTTTATTTGATATTTTTAGAATCATTAGTTAAGAGCCTCCAGTGGCCCAGGTTGACTGTAAACTGGGGGGGAAAGGAGGAGGATTCTAGGGGCTGTGATTAAGAGGGGCCCGGAGCGCTCAGTGCTTCCCCTACCTGTCAACTGTCATATTGTTCTTTTTTCACAGATATAGGATTGATAGTTAAAAATACTATCACATTGCAGTTTTATGTTAAATAGCGTCAGAGGCGAACCAGCTGTAGTCCTCCACCCATAAACCTTCTTTTCATGTCAAGTCCAAAATTCCTGGTAGCATCCATTATTTCAGGTTCTGCTTTTCTTCTTACAAAAATAAAAATGTGTCTAAAGGTGGGATAAAGTAAATATACACCCTGTGGTTGATACAGCACAGAGCTCTGACGTTCACTGACGCTGCACATCAGGGATTCCCAAAATTCAAATATTAGAATGAATTATTTAGAATGAATATTAGAATGAATGAATGAATATTAGAATGAATTTAGAATGGACTACTAGTCATTGTAGGACTATGTCAAGCTGGGCATTAAAAAGAAATGAGTCAATCATACATTAACAGAGGCACACACACACATACTGTATCTCTCAGACAGGACAATGTATTTTTCATAATGTTTATTTCTTGGTGTATTTACACTCATTCTACAGTGATCTGTACAGTACTTCTAGAGTCGCAAGCAAAAAAAAAAAAAACAGAGTCAAACGAACTTGACTTTTGTCCTCTATCTAATGAAGTGTCGTCTCTCACACAGCTTAGAAAAGAGTAAAGTGAAGGAGGTTTTACTTCTCCTCCTCCTCCTCCACTTCTTCTATTCCCTGCACAGGGAAGCCAAATGTTAGGACAGGTTCTTAGTGCAATCTCTGAGCTCATTGACACAAAGTGCATCTCCCCACTTGGCTCATTCAACACTTCCATAATAACAGTAATTATCTCCGGCACACATCTTTCTGCTTCATTTAAAACCTCCTTAAGCAGGGGCATTCATCATGGCTGTGCTACTATTCTGCGGTTGTGCTGACCTCCATCTGTGATTTATTCCTGACCACCTCAACAGCACTCTCTCTCTCTCTCTCGCTCTCTCACTGCGGGACAAAAACTGACTGCTGTGAGGCTGTTTTTAATTATGAGGATATAACTTAACTGTTCATCAGTCCCTGGTTGGTCACTGGACGGGGTGACATAAGCAGCTGGCAGGCTCTCCATCTTATGATTTGGGTCATTTTTTAAATGAAGACGAGGGCATGTTAATAAGACAGGTAAATAATAGCAGTTCAGCTCAGAGTGAACTTCGAGGCTCTGAAATCATTCACTAGTGCCGATCACAACGGCGTCGCTGATGAAAGTTCCAGTCGTGTTGCAACACCAACACAGAGTTTTAATTTCTCAAACTGCAAATTGGTACCTGCAGTAAGAGAACGACAAAGTGTGTGTGTGTGTGTGTGTGTGCAGGATGAGAGTGGCGGTGTTGTTAGGCACATAGAGCATCATTATTTTGATTTTTGTCCTCCTCTGCGCTCCTGTGACTGGGTTGAAGCAGCAGGATAGTGAGAGATGAGGGTGAGGAGGAGCAGCCGGCTGAGCCTGGACAAACACAAGGACAGCTCCTCCACTGTCAGCACTGTATTAAACCAATTATTCACTATCAGAGATTGTTTTGGGCGACGGTGAATGTTTTGTTTACTTGGTTCAAAAAACATGTAGCAAATGGCGTGTCATCTACAGCAGAGAGAGACAGCAGAGAGATTGTAAACATGTTTTTCTCTTCCCTCCCAACAGGAGGATAAATAAAAAGACTGCTGTTAGAAGATTTAATTCTGAGATGCCTCTCACTCTCCAGGGACCTGTGTAACACTGAAAAGCTCACAGTGTAAAGCCTTCAATTAGCGGAGAACGCTTTCATCTCCTGACCAAAGTCACCCCGAACAATCAAATCATCTCTGATTTAAAAAAAAAAAAAGCAATCACCTCCAATCAATCAAAGCTCTTTATCTCTCAAATAATTTCCAGCAGCAGAAACATGGAAGAAAAACATCCACGTTCACACCCACAAACTTCACATGAGCTGCGAAAGGTCGAAAATATACCTGCGTACAAGCAAGGAAAAGGAAAAAAAGAAAAAAAAACATGGTTTACGCTTTAAAAATATCTTCAGATTCCTGATCACACAGGGAGCAGCTGTGTTTGTTTTAACCACAGTCTGTGAGATGAGTCAGCCGGCTGTGTGCCAGGTTAGTGTGTAAGGAGACGGACAAGCACAAGAAATTTAGATTAACTGCTCCGGTCGGAGCTGATGGCCATTGAAATTCACACTCTGTCTATTTAATACTCAGCACAGTGTAATGATAAATTATTAATGATGTCCACGTTCTCTGTGGACTTCATTTGGGGAAATTTCTCTTTGCCATTTTACAGGATCTCAAACAATGAATCCTGTTTATGTCCAAAAAAATCAATAAATTCCACAGGGTATGAGAGTAAAAAAAAAAAAAATGCAACCACAAAATCATTTGGATGAAACCAGTCAAATTATGGAAATTGAGGGATGTTATCATGTAAATAACAAAATATTCTTAGTTAGATATAATATTACACCTGTGTATGTTATGATTGACTGGCAGTGTCTTGGTTTGGCAAAAGAACAATAAACAAAACTAAAGTAAGAAAACAAAGTATAAATGTTGTTTTGACCCTGAACGGCAAACGATTTACTGTGTATTCGCTGCTTAACAGCTTTTGATTGCCATGCTGTTTTCATCCAAAGTGCAGCGATAGTTGGCTCTCACTCTCAGCTGAATTACTACATCACAACTGATGGAGGTAAATACACTCTGGCCAGACAAGAGGCGGCTTTTTCTACGCCAAAACACCACATTTTCACACCGCAGGAGCAATCTTCGACACTATTGCCCTGACCAAGGTCATTGCTGTGCAAACAGCAGAGTCCAAGATGATGTAGTGCGGCGATATCCCCGGGCCAGCATTGTACATTCTGTATCAGTCTCCCTGGGTGGTGTAAACTTCCTCCAGGCCTCGGCATCCATGATTTCATGGTACTAGAAGTTATAGCCAGGCAAGCTGATGTTTTTTTTTTTTTTTTTTATTATTATTATTTTTTCCCCACGCAGTAAAGAAGCTGAGGGGATGCTTCCAAATGCCTTCATCTGGTCATCGGCTGTCAGGCCCATATGTCCTGCAAGTATCGTTTCTCCTCTCTCAGTCCCGCCAGCGTCTTCATGGCCTCCAGTTGATCCACCTGCATCTGCGTTTTGATCATCTCTATCAGGGCTTCGTTGACATCCTTAGCCATGTTCTTGGCGTCCCTGAAGAGGGGAGGAAATAGCACAGATAATAGGTGAAAATAGAAAGAAAAATTATAAATGTTCTTGTTGAGAATATGCTGTGTGTATACGAGCCCAGTGGCAGACTGATAATTTGTAAAACCAGTGAGAGGCACTAGTTCAGGGGAGCGTCCGGGGAGGAAATTGCTGAAATCTCTATAGTGCTGCTGTGGCAGTTTATTGGAAGAGATCCATCATCTGACAGTGATTTTCTTTTCTTTTTGTCTCGTAACTGAACCACTCAAACAGTTTGGATGTTTTAAAAATGATTTACTACAAAGATGGGTCTGACAGTGACAAGGGAAAGTGAACAGAGAATTTGATTTTCTGATGTATAGCTGTCGATAACAGCGACTTGATTCACAGCGCTGCTGTCTTGTGTACTTTGTTCTGGCAAAAACATTGTAATCTGTCAAAGAAAGAGGAGCAGAGGATATATTAATTCTATAAATACCCAAAGATTATGAAGTGTTGCATGAGTAGTGGAAGTGTAGACTGAATTTGCAAATTAGTTTTTATAGCAACTAAGTCAGGAAGACCAGTTTGATTTTCTCCTGCCTGTGAAACTGAGGTGTAAACAACAGATGTTGGTGTCGTGATCCCCAACAGATATATTTACTTGCTGATGGGCAGAGCTGACTGTGTCACCAAATTTACTTTCTCAATAAAGTTAATGGAATCTTTACATCTGTTTACCTTGGAAAATTTAAATAAATAAATAAATGAACACCAGCCTCAACATCATCAACCAAATAAGAAGGACATTTAAAAATAAAATAAAAGGAGCACAACAGTCTGTCCTATTTATGATGTAATTACTAAAGAATATGACATAAAAAGGTGGAACAATGTGTCCAAACATAATTACCAGAATGTTCTAATATAAATTTGAGAATAAAAAGGTAATTTCTTCAAATAGGTTTTATTAAAGTCTGACCACTTCTACAGGCTCTCTCTGTTTCAGATTGAGAAAATCTTTGAAAAAAATCTTTCCCATAAGGTCACAATCTGCTTTTTTGCCTTGTCTTAAGGGTTGAATCGTACTTCTCAGGTGTTCTTTTACATTGAGAGAGATCAAAACCTTCAATCATTTTAGGTTTTCATGAGGTATGAGAAACTCACCACCAGTACTTTTTATACGTGCAAAAATAAGGTTCCCGTACATTTAATTTGAAAGCACTGCAGTGTGAGGGTGAAGTAATGATGTACCTTGAGTTTTTGACAACTCTAACCCGTAGTTGGAAACTGGACTTTTCGTTGGCAACAGTTTTATCACAAAGGGCCTTAAATCCCTACTTTTTAAAAGCGAGCCTGGTGAAAGTTACTACTTTTCAAGGGTTTCAATTGTGTTCAGAACCTGCTTTATCCATCTGTGCCATTAGGCCACATTTTATGTACAAAATTACATCATACTATGACAGATGCACAATGCTGATCCATTTCACGGTGTCTGGAAAGGATTTTATGTCAGGCAGCGTCTGTTCCACGGTGCTGGAAACCTAGTTTGCCACATTTTCAATTTGCTCCCTGTCCTTGGCTGTGGAAATGTCCAGGCCACATGATTACAGTTTTTTTGTTCTTTTTTTTGGCTGCTGGATCCAGTGAAAGGCAGTCTGTCAGTTTATTTTATCCACCCTGTGGACACACTGATGGGATGTGAAGTTAAGGTGGCGAGTGACACATCAAAGTTCATCCTGGTCTCTCCTTTTCCCATCATGCAGCTCCTTCGGTGTTGGCTCCAGATTGTCACATCTGATGCTGTGTCTTTACTCTGTCGCAGTTCTCTGTTCGGGCACACACGTGCGCTGCCAATCATCTGCGATTGGTTGGCGCTGCTCAGAGTTTTACTTATAGTCAATAAGGTGACGTTAGCACCTGCTGTTGCCACTGATGTCGTCAGAGATTTAATCTAATCCATCACACCGCTGAGATCCTTATAAGAACATTTATCTATTCCTTTCTTCAGAGTGTCGGAGAGCTGTTAATCTGCGACACTGGTTTTAAACAGACTACAGTGAGGCAGTGTGGCCCACTGACATTTAATGGAATGCACTCACAATGAAAAGCCAGCTCAGTGGCACTGAAGCATTAGCTTTAAATACACACGTGACAATTGTTAGGACGACAGGCTGAACAGTGTTTCAGTCTTTCACCTGGGATTTGATCAGGGAAGTTGTCGTCATGATTCTTTTCTGTCAGCGTAGAGTCGAGGATGACGTTATTAGTCTGATCGTTTTTTAAAGCACAAACCACATTTCTATAAAAAAGGTTGGATAACTTTGGTGCTTTTCAACGTGCTCAAGGACAAAGGAACAAAGACAGTTCTGTTTGTGGAAGTTACTATTTCCAAAGTTCAGAAAGTAAAATTATTATTCAAATAAAATTATTATTTTATTTTTTATGAAGTCAAGCCAGACTTTGTGAAGGAAACAGATCTGGACAACAGTCAAGGACAGGCGCCGTGTGTGGAGGTAGAAACAGTGATGATCAACGAAACACTGTAGTTGCTATTGAAAGACTTGCAGAGGTCTGTGAGGTCGTGCACATTTAGCAGCTGTATGACCTTTGGCCTTTGCAGAGACTGGAAGCAGTTATATGAAGTAACAAAAAGGTGTGTACTGAAGGATCTGTCTTCAGTCTTTCTAACGTTCGCGGCAGTTGAAACAAATAAGGGCAACATAGAAATTCCATTCGATTTGTTCTGTTCACTTACCCGCACACATAAATGTAACCTTTCTGTTTGAGCAGTATGTCGCTGATGTATTGGCTGTTAAGCAGCAGGTTGTGCTGGACGTATCTGGGTCGAGCGACAGAAGTGGTAACCTTCTTCTCCTCCTCTTTCTCCTGCTCTTGGTCGTCTCTGGAGAAACACACCTTGAGGTGGTTGAGGACGCCGCTGGACACAAAGCCCTCCAGATCCTCCCTGGAAAATGGAGAAACAATACAGAGTCACATTCAAGATTTGTGAAATTTCCTGCAAGGTTATTCCTACGATCTTAGAGAGGCTTCATCCTGATTGGTTTAATGGATTCATTCCATACTAAAGAATGATTTGGGGTTTTTTTTAAGTGAGGAGAATGTTTTTTTTTTTTAACCTCTCCATTCAAAGCCTGAATTACTCAACAGCCACAGAACATGTGTTTCTGGACTGCAGTGTATTTCTATTGTTCAAACTTGCTTTTGATAAAAATATACTAGAAGGTCTAGGAGCTCATGCACATTTAGCAGCAGTTTCCACCTACAGCCCTTAGGCACAAGACTTCTCAAGATTCCAAGAAATACAAACAACATTATTTTTTTGAAGTCGATATTGTATATTCTTTTTTCTTTGGCAAAACCCATTCTCACTTGCAAAGACCAGGCATTTTGTTTTAACCAATCTTGACACCCAAACATGTGTCAGCATGTAACCTGTATCAGATTTTCTCTTAACAAATACTCAAGTTGGTCAGTGAAAACAAACATATTTTTTATATATTATATTTTTATAATTATACAGCCTGTTTTAATGAACATCCAATGGAATTACTAAAATACAGACTTCTGGACATTTAGCATTTTTCAAATGTATACCAACTTTCAAAAAAGTGTATGTACTTGTAAATAAATAAATGTATGTGAAAACTGCTGCCAAGTGATAAGACTTCACCTCATTTCTTCTACTAAAGATATTTAGCTGCAATTCTGACCGCCTTACAAGGCAAATAACCCACTGAAAATTTCCTTCGAACAAATGTAAAAATGAAAAAAGTAACTGTCAAGCTCGATAAAACACAAGTCTGTCGGGCAGAAATGGCTGAGTGATACTGTGTTAGACAACCAATATGTCTTGCTTAACAAGAAAAGTGCAAAAAATAAATAAAAATAAAAAATGGATTTCATAAGCAAGGTCAAGTCACTGTTATGAGCATCCTTTCACAATAAATCCTCCCAGCCTTGTAGTTTGGTGTAACCTCGCTCCCTATCAGTGGTTTGCTTTTTCAACTGCTCCTTCTTCTGCTTCAGTGTTTTCTCAAAGCCTGGGGTGATTTTTGCAAGCGAAGGAGAAAGGAGGTGAGGGAGTTGGGTTGACTGTGGCTCAGAGCATCTTGTTTAAAGTAAACCAGTCAGGGTGAGTTAAGCACACAGATAAAATACAGCCAAACATGTGCGGCCCATCACAAGCTGCAGCTCATAGATGGTGGGTGAAGGTCTCCACCTCGGGGGTCTGTGTGGTTCAATAGCCTTGTGACTAAATTGATTCGAGCATTGAAAAGAAAGACAGAAGGGATGCTGTTGTGCGAATGCTGTGCAGTGAGAGAAAAGAAAAGCTTTTTTGGGGGGGGAGTGAAACGTGAAGTTGTTGTTGTTGAGTTAAAATAGAACTACCAAAAGAAAATTGTTCTCCTGACTGAGATGTGTGATGTGTGATGTGTAATCCGAATGTGAGAGCAACAAAAAACAACTAGTAGAAGGGGTGAGCTCCTGTGGTCTGACATTTGACTTTGGCTCATCATAGATTATTAACCATATGGCAGGAACTGGAAGGGACAGTTGTCCCCAAACTCCAGTCCATCTATGGTCCTCCTTTGTTGACATGAACACAAACGCACACATGTACGCTCTTCTTGGACCCTAACGGCAATCTGGCAGGCGTTGCAGATGCAGCGTGAAAACGCACACTGTAAAGAAAGTGGAAAATTGAAAGGGAGGAGAGAAGAATTAGTGCAGCACAGGTGGAAAAATAGGAGGGCTGGATGTGACAAGCGACTGGATTGACATCAACCTCTCGAAGGTATGTTTGAGTGCTGCGGGTGAAATAAGGCAGATCACAAGCTTTGTTTGTTTTCGCTGGTGGGAAATGCATAACAAGATGGGAACCTTGGGCACATCCTGCTGTGGCATTTTGTATTATTTATGGGCACAAAAAGCCTTTTGTGCAAGTTCAGGTTTCACCTCCTTCTCATGACTCCTGCTAACCTTATTTTTTATTATTATTATTTTAAAAAATCTGGGACACTGCAATCTATAGTAAGCAAGTAATGTGACATCAAATTGTACTTAAATCCAGCAGAGATGAATGCAGTCCAGTATGTTGCTCTCATTCTGCTAACCTATTTAAATTAAGTACAACTCTTCATGGGTGGCTCATAAAACACGCACTAATTGCTTTGGTCAACACTGTAGGGGTGTTCATCAGAGAATCCCAAACTGTGAAGAAACGCCGCCTACTGCTCGCCTCCGAGTTGGTATTTAACTAAGAGATGGAGGGCACAGGGGGGAATAAACAACACTCTGTGATCCATTCCTTTGTGATTACCGATGCTAATCCATTCACACTTTTTCATCCTGCATAAGAGGTCGATTGTCGTCCCTGCTTTAAGTACATGCCTTCTACGAATAATCCAAAAAATGTATCGATTATGCAGTCGGGAGAGGAAGGGGTAGAGCCGAAGCAAAGTGAGCGGAGGAACTGAAAAAGTGGTATCAGTTTATAATGGCTCACACCATGACAGTGGTAAAATATTTAGTAGAAGAGAACTTGAGATAACACTCTGACTGTAATTACCTAAATAAGTCTAAACCTCTTCCACAGACACAGAGAAAAAAAATACAGTAGTTCCTGTTCATTTCCTGTCTAATATGCAGTTTTGTAGTTCAAAACCAAAAATCTCTCCATGGGAAGATTGGACAGGATTATGAGGTATTTATTTGATCTGACCACAGGCACAAATCTCTATATTAGTCCAACATTATTTGTGTTCATAACAGCTTTATTTGGTCACAGATACCAAAACAGCACTGACCAATCGTTATTCTTCTCTGCGTGTGGCAATGTGACCTTTTGGGTCAGCTATCGTCACCTCGTAACATACATAAAAACAGCCATAGACTGAACTTTGGTCTCTAGATAATATAATTTTCTATGAATTACACTTTCATGCCAATTGAAAAGGAGGCTTATTTTTCTGTCCCTTTCAGTCACTGGAAAATCACATCTGACCCTAGTGGTTTTCTTTTAATAAACCTGAGACCTCTGTGTCCATAACATGACTGTTTATCAATGTAAAAGAGAGAGTCATTCATAAAGATGGTAAAATTCATATCATGTAGGAAAATATTTCAGTGCATGGAAGGTGAAAAGGAATGTAGAGAGCAGTAAATGTTATTCACCAAGGTTGACAGAAAGCCTGTATATATATTGTACAAAGGTGAATGTGTGTGACTCAAGTCCAACACCAGTGTATAAATATTCCGCGCTTCTTTGTTCCTTTTTTTTTTCGAAGAAATATCACATCTGACCTTGAAACTTTGTCGATGCAGTATTTGTGCAACATGTCATAAAGAAATATCACATCTGACCTTGAAACTATCAATATATATAACAATAATATCAATGAAGACACCGGGGTTGAACAAAGGGACAACTTCTCACCTGAACAGATAGTCTCTGTCTTTGTGTCGACAACCAAAGAACAGCCATGTCTCACCAAAGACCACATCGGGGTTCTCCTGTCTCTGTTTATCCCTGAAAGTCAAACAATGGAGGTTAGTGGTTAATCAATACTACCAGACAACTGGACCAGATGGGACAGAGGAAGTCTTTTCCAACAACAGAGGTTAAACAAGCGGAGTGACACCATTTAAGCTCTTTTGCAGAGACAGAACGCTGGCAGCCAAAACTGCCTAACGTGTGGAAACGACTGCAGTGAGGACTTTATGTCTTATTGAATTTCAAGCAAACAGCAGGGTTGACGTCATCACTATAAACACTAACAAACTAAAAATGCAACTTAGTCCCGTGCACTCTGTACACGTGTGTGGGTGTTTCGCATGCCGTTCAAAAAGCTGCTCATGCAAAAGTGATTTCTCTTGTGGCTGTGGGAGTCTGGCACAACTCCCAGAATCCTTTGCATGCACTGGCACCACTGTGGCACAAAGCCACGCTGAGGATGCCGGTATCTGTGCCGCACACCTGCTGGAAAAGGTGACAGCTCGCACCCAGATAACAACAGTTGACCCCCAACCTTTCATGATGCCATCAGTCAGCTGACACTCCAGAGCTCCTCCACATTATCGGCTGTCTTGTCTGCTGGGGATTTACCAACCAGGGCAAGAGCCTGAGGGGCAACACAGAATCACTGGGCCCCGGCCTTTTGTGCTGCACTCAGTTGATAAGGCGCTGCTTTCCCTGCTGCTTTTGCCATTTATGAATACAATGTGAAAGGCTTTGTATTTTTCCAGCGGCCAAGACAAAAACGTTTGCCAGTTCTCTTTAGATTGTAATTCATTCCCTCTGTGATTTTAAATGGATCACAGGAAGTACAGTATATGGTGCTGTGTTCACCAGCAAGGAATTTACTCTCTGTCTGTTGTTGTCGTACCTATTTAAATGTTATAATTCAAAATAACGACCTTTATTGGAAGTAGCATTCATTTCTGCCTTTTTTCTTTCTATAGATTATTTTTAACAGTCACATGGACAAAACTTAAAAGCTAGTTTTCTTTATAAAGAAAGACTTCTAATTTATCTGACTTAAATCTTGGGTCTTGGGGACAAGGGCACAGAGCTTGTTTGAACCCAAGCCTTCTTGATAACAGTCTGACGCCGTTTGTACCGATCCATTTCACCTTCCTTTCTTCAACAGGTTAACCATTGTGAGAAACTGTGACCCAGTCTAACTGCGAGAGCCAAAATAAAGCTTTAGTCTTGATTCAACTTATTTAAAGGAATAAATAGGTCCAACAGTTTCAACCAAAAAAAACCCAAAACCTCAAACTAAACAATCGAAGGGTGAAGTTTGTTTGAACTTTGTGTCTGTGAATGAAGCTGGATAACAGAGCTGTCTGCCCGGCTGCTTGATCCAAACACTCAGAATCCCATCCATTAGCATCCTGGACGAGATTCTTCTGATCTGCAGACAGCCTCAAGTAAACTCATTTTAGTGCGCGCGTCTCTCTCCTCTTGCCGCCTGCCCTAAAGGAATCAATACCAATATGAAAAACCATGGTTCCATTCTGAGTAGACCACACTGGCGCCTTTCCCTGAATACAAATCACATCACATCGCATCCCCACACTATAACTGCCTGCAACACAATCCCTGGGGGAGAGGCCAGCGTCTACAGAGTACTCCATTTGGAGTTGAAATCAGAAGCTTTTGCCTCTCAGAGCCATTCAAATGACCAGCAGGAGGGTGGACCTGCGAGGGGAAGCTGAGGTGAAGACTTGGTAAACATCACAATTATCTCATATGCTCTATCCGTTTTCTCCACAGCTGTGAGCAAGTGCTTTTAAGTGACTTTTTCGGCATAAAAGTTCCAGTTCAAGAAAGAGAAAAAATATATAGCACCGGCTGAATCCACAAAACCCGTGGAAAATGAGACGTTACGTCTTTATTCACTGTACAGAAAGATGCTCCAGTTTTTTCTGTCACCAACTGTGCGGCGGCACCTAACAGTGAAAGCTCAATATTGTCCACACACACATTCTAATACATGTTGTCATATTAAATCCCCACTGGCAAACCTATGCAAGGAAAATCTGTGTATTTTGGTGTGTTGCTAGGAATATTATCTTCTCAACTCATTTATAATTACTAGGTTTGTTTACCCATTGTGCTTCCAGGCAAAAAAAGAGAAAACAATGAAATAAATACAATGTCTATAAAATTATTTCATGCAAAGTACAGTGATCAATATCAAATTACTGGGGGGCCTTGTTAAAACCTCTTCCTACCACCAAGCGGGCTTCTGACCTTTCTTCACTGGTTACCCACAACATCCATCGATTAAGAGTAGGTGAGAAGAAGAATGAAGGTAAAAAGATCAAACAGTCCCTGTCTTGTTTTTGCAGCTAATGGGGACGACTTTTTTTTTGGGGGGGGGGGGGGGGGGGGGGGGGAGGGGG